CTACATATGAATTTGGGGATTATAATTCCAATGCATGAATTTCTGAGCACATCTTCAAACTGTAGTGTATAGATATAATTTAATCTCCCCCACAACAGGAGCAAGATGCAGCCATGCATCTCATTTAAATACATCTTAAGAGTAAGAGTTGTTTGGCCTGTGGAGTCCAGAAGAGCTTAAGCTTGAAGACCAGCATGGGCTGACTTGCAAAACCTTATCTCAATACAAATAAATGGATTGTTGGTAAATACCAAAATATGGTCTTGCAATCTAGAGTAGTTGCTTAGTTAGTGAGTTAGTGAGAAATAAACACAACCAGAAAGCAGATTCACTTATTCAGGAAGACTGTGTGACAGTGTATGACTCGAGAGTGTGTGGGTTGTCTCCCTAGGGATCTTAATCCTGAGTCTAGACTCAGAAACCTTCTTTGTTGACAAAAGAAAATAGAAACCTTGAAAATTACTTATGATGGCAAAAAGATTTTGGGAACTATATATCTTTTCACAGGGAACTACTTAAATAAATACTGGAAAAATCATGGCGCAGGAACACAGTGGAATTCTCTGAAGGACTGAAAGTGATTTTTGTGGTCAAAGTCATTAGTCACTAAGGAAATGCAAATCAAAACGACAATGTGAGCACTTCAATACCCTCCAGGGCACCAACAATAATAGAACAAATGGAAAAGAGAAAAACTGCTGGAAATATAAAATGATGCAGCCACCATGGAAATACTTTGACATTTCTTCCAGAAGCTACACAGAATAGTCATGTGAACTTGCAATTTCACTATTAGGTTTATGAGAGCATCTGAACACATAAAACTGTACGTGTATGTTCGGAATGGTACTATTCATGTAGCCAAGGGTGGAAGTAGTAAAAATCCCCACTAACTGATAAATAGATAATCATGGGTTATACTAGAATAATAGGACATTATTCAGCTACTTACAGAGAATGGGAATATTTCTAACAATTATGGTTGGACTGGATACTGAGAATATTGAGCTGAAATAAAACGTCAGGTACCAGAGGCCACATATTATATAATGTCACATATACCTACCACCAACAAAAAAATACATACAACTGTGTTTGTAGTGGTGCTCTGTGACCACTGGCGATTCTTGACATTCCATGGAAGCCCTTGGCATACCTTGGCAATTTTTGGCATTCGCTGGCAGTCCTTGGCATTCCCAGGTTTGTAGCTGAATTACTCCAGTCCTGTATCTGTTTATATCACCCTGTCTTCTGTGTCATCTCTTCTCCCATATACCCTTGACATGGGCCCCGTACGATCAATAATTCTTTCCCTTGGCATCTTTAATCTAACCTGATTTTTTTTCCTGGATAGTTGCACTCAGGCCTCCAGTGGACATGAGTGGTAGAGTACCATCCATTAAGCTATAGACCCACACTCAAATCTTTGAACAGATATGTTTGAGAGCTGTGAGTTCAAAAGGTGATTATTTCACATACTTTACTATATTTTAAAATGGCCAACGCATGTTATTCTCTCCAGAGCAAACAGGAAATAAACTGTTGCTAACAAGTTTGCTCAGAGGTAAAAAAAATGGCTGTTTCAATCACTTCTGGTAAAACATCATTTGATTCAGTCTTTCAGGGATATTTGGGCAATTTAATTATAAAAGTATTTTTGTCCCTGCACAAAGATGCATACTTGATAGTGCCTTATTGTAGCATTGCTTGTGATGGCAAAATATGCGAAATAGTTATTTCTGAGTTCTGTTTGTTCCTTGACAGTTTCCTTAAGGACCTAATATGAAAACAGACACAAGTCTGTATGCTGGAAACACTGGAAAGAAGGAAGGAACCACCAGTTTGTTGAAGATTGGTGATGATAAAAAGTCATAAAATGTTCATTGCAAGACAAATGCAACAAGCTAAAAACAATACTTGTGATATGGTGTCTTTTAAAATTAATGTTTTTATACACACAAGGGAAAAACAAAAGCAAAAGGATGTAAGCAGTAATTAATTTTGAGCGATGGGGATTAAAGAATTTTCTTTTCTTGTTTTTGGCATTTTTTCACTGTAGGAACATTTTGCAGTGAACATCTATTATTTCTATTATAAAAGGGAAAACAATGAAGTTGTTTTCTTTTTAAAAGAAAAAAGAGAGAAAGAGAGAGAGAATGAAAAATCCCATAGAGAGTGGCATTGTTCCAGCCTGGGTCTCGGGCCAAGATTCCGACTCTGCTGCACAGTGGTGGACAGGACCTCCCTCAGCTGGAGTCTGTGAATAGCTTGATTGACATTCTCTGCCCAAACTGGGCTTTCATGCATCTGGCATAGCTCAGCTGGGAACCCCCTTGAAATTTCCATGAAGGGGCCTCTTGGCTGCGTGTGTGGTACTGACCATTTCTTCATTTTCTGTTCAGCCGCAGAGCCAAGAATGCTCTTGCTATGGAATCAAGCTCCACTCTTCTCATTACTTACTTCCTGGCTCTATGACCTTCAGTAGATTGTTTAGCTTCTGCAGGCTACCTAAGTCAGGGCTAATTTCTGAGATGACATTCAAAAACATGTAATGTTCCTTCAGCAACTCTGCCACATCATGGGTACCAATAAACATCAAACTAGACCCCCACCACATCCACCGTCTGTCTCCCACTCTGTCCACATTCCCTGCTTGACAATTGACAGTGGCCCTCAATGGGTGCTTTGTCACCCCTTTGTGACATTTTGGAAATTAACGGAAGATTTCCTGGGGGTGGTTGCTATCATGATAAGGAAACTACTGGCTTTGGTTGTATCCCTCTCCTGGCTCCAGGAACGCAGACATGCCAAAGCTCACGAGAAAGGTCCAGGCAACAAAGGAACAACAAATTGTTTTGCATCCCATCTAACTTTTCAGTGTTCCAGAGGTTGCTTGTGTCAGTTAAAACTTCGTTCATATTACTTGAGCCTAGAAAAGGCTTCCATTTTATGCAGTAACACAATACTTCACAATCTTCCCATTCAAGACTGTTTTTTATTTAGTTTGAACTTGATCACATTTTTCCCCAAAGATTTATTTAGTTGTTATGTATGCAGTGTTCTGCCTGCATGTGTGCATGCAGGCCAGAAGAGGGCATAAGATCTCATTATAGATGATTGTGAGCCACCTTGTGGTTGCTGGGAATTGAACGCAGGTCCTCTGGAAGAGCTGAGCCATCTCTTAGTAAAAATATCATTCTGATCACAGTACCGCTGATGCTATTTTCAACCCCAGATGTCTCCAAATTAAAAGGTCTTCCATCTGCCTTTGTAATTGTTAGAAGTTGACTTAGCTGATAGATGTGAATCCCTCTCTCTACTGTCATGTCCTCTGGAATACTAATTCCTATGCATCTGCATTATGAAACTCTTATAACATGCTAGAAATCATTTTCCTCTTATTTCTTTTAAAGTTTGTATATGCATTATGTTGATTTTAAAAAAAGATGAGCAGGTTGATTACACTAGCCAATGTTTTTCTTTCATGATTATAAAAGAAGTATTATAAATTATTTATGATTAAATAGGGGGCATGGCAGGTTGTTAAAGAGCCCAAGAAATCATATTTTCACTTGCAGCAACAGTTCTGGAGGGGGACATGTCTCATGCGTTGTCAAGTGGCTTCAACAATCATGTGCTTCTGCTTACACGATAATGTTACTGGTAAAAGAGCAAGTACCCGGCTCTCTCTAGCTTTAGGGATCACAGACATTTAGTATAGCAGCCAATATTCATCCCTCTAGAAACAGAACTAGGGAGGCAACAGTGTCCAGGATAACTCCTATGAGAAAGGGGCTTTTATCCAGTAGGAGAAATCAAATAATCTGGCTATCCTTTCCAATTTATCAAACTGGAAGGAAAAGAATGTATCATAAGCCCAGAGGAGTGGCAGGGAGGAATCTAGAGATGTAAGTACACTAAGTGGGGGACATTATTAGAAGCAGGTTGATAGTGTAGTGAGTTGAATGTTGTGTGGGGAGAAAGTGTGGGAGTCCTTTGGACAAGCACCTCGTTGTTATATTGGCTGGGCCAGAAGACCTATGTGCTTGCAGTGAAGACTGAATGTTTGTTAGATGGTTTTCTAAATGTATCATCTAGGCTCTGAGAGACAAGGAATAAGACAGGAAGGACTTCATCAAGTCTCTGTGCCAATGGGCAAGAAGAGAGAAGATGGAAGCACCTATCATCATTCCTAAGTAAGAGGTCAACACCACGCTGGGGAAACCCACAGACACAGCTGACCTGGGCAAGTGGGAACTCATGGACCACAATCTGACAGCTGGGAAACCAATATAGGACCAAACCAGGGTCCCTGAACGTGGGTGTCAGCTAAGAGCCCTGGGCAGTCTATGAGACCTCTGGCAGTGGAACCGGGATGTATCCTTAGGAGCCCATGGAGAGATAATCTCTTATCCTAGATACACAGGGGAGGGCCTAGGCCCTGCCTCAAATGACTTAACAGATTTTGATGATCCCTCATGGAAGGTCTCACCCTCCCTGGGGAGGGGATGGGAGATGGGATGGGTGTTGTCCGTGGAGGCATCGGAAGATGGGAGGGAGAGGGAACTGGGATTGATATGTAAAATAAGATTGTTTCTAATTTAAATAAAATTTATAAAATAAAGATATGAGAAATAAAAAAATATATATTATTCAGTACTTTTGGCACTTTTATTTTTGTGTATATCAAATGGTGTTGGAAAATCTTCCTTCACAGATTCACAAAATTACCCACATGAGAGAAGCTGATGGCACCATCACAGAGCCCTCACTTTCCTGATTATGAAGAAGTGACTGTCTAGACCTCCTGATGGGTTTCAGGATATGGGGAACTTGTAGAAGTAAAACACCAACTGTACAAACAACAAAGGATAGAGTGGGTCATATGAAAATCTTCATTCCGGTTCAGTTTATTTCAAATCAAAGCAAGACTTGCTTGAGAGGATGTGTAAAATGAATAACCTGTGTGTGCCCAAGAATAATGCCTTGTTTTGTTACAGGGAGGAACAATAACTGAGGAGACTAGGAAAAGTAATTCTAAAGGAGGAAGTTAGAAAGAAACAAGAAGATATTCTATACAGGTAAGTGAAAATTTATCAAGGATGAAAATCCTGAAACTGGATGTACATCAAGTGTATTCCAGAAACCTAATCCAAAGCATACATTGAGGTTGAAGGGCATGGGTACCTACCATGTCACCACATCTGTTATATACATGTCCATGTGTGCACGCATGCACACACACCCATGCACACACATGCATGCACAGTGTATACAATTATATAGGACATATTCATGTATAATTGATAAGTGTAGATAAATACAGATATTCCTTTGTATGAAATTAAGTCTTTCTGACTATGTTAGTTTCTTTTCTGTTGCCGTGATATAAATACCAAGGAGACTTATGGAAGAAAGAACATATTTATGCTTATGGTTTTAGAGTGATAAGAGTCCATCATCATGGAGCAGAGGCAAGGCAGCAAGCACCAGGCATGACAGCAGGAACAAGAACCCAAGGCCTTCCAGCTTAAATTGCAAGTATGAAACAGAGAGAGCAAACTGACAGTAGTGGGTGGGCCTTAAGATCTCAAAGCCCACCCTCAGTGACATACTTCCTCCAGCAATGCTGTACTTCTAAAACCTCCCCAAACAGCATCACCAACCGGGCATCAAGTGTTCAAATATGGGATCGGTAGGGCTACATTTGTATTCAAACCACTACACTGTCCTAGGATATGCTAGAATTTATAGTAAGCTCACAGGGCAGGTACTGACCCGCCCTCCTAGAGCTAATCTGTGAGGGAATTGTTCTGATAAATGGGCAATAGCCATACAGAAACATGCTAGAGAAACATGAGGAGGGTAAAAGAATTTTGTAAAGGCTCTGATTCCCACCCTGCATGGTTGGGAGAGGTAGAGTTCCCGGATAAAATGAGGTCTAAGCTAAGAGCCACAGTATGGATTGACATTATTTGGGGGAATAAGAGTGATGAACAGGTTGGCATATCACATACTGCAGAGACAAAAGCAACCACTAGAAAGGTTTAAAGAGAGCACAGACTCTTCAAATATGTAGAATAACTTAATGTGAGAAGATGAGTAGTGTGAAGCTCACAGAGGCAAATAGAAGACAGATCCCATCAAGATCTTTTAAAGCAGTGGTTCTCAGCCTTCCCAAATGCTGTGTCCCTTTCATACAGTTCTTCAAACTGTGGTGATCCCAAATCATAAAATTATTCCATTGCTACTTCATAACTGTAATTTTGTTATTGTTAGGAAGAGTGGCATAAATACCTGGTATGTAGGATATCTGATATGTGAACCCTGTGAAAGGGCCATTTGACCCCCAAAGGGCTCGTGACCCACAGGTTGAGAACTGCTGCTTTAAGTGTTTGTACATGCTAAAATCAATGAAGTGCTGGAAAAAGGAATAAAAAGAGCCCTTGAATGACTGAATGACCGTAGATGCCATAGTGTGCACAATGGGTTTCACCCTACGGGAGGGCCAACTTTTCAATATTGACATAATAATAATGGCGTCTACAAAATTTACATCTGAGAACCATGCAACTGAGGTACCAAGAAATGCAAAAAGAGTCTCATAATGCTTTAAGTAAGTTTATTATTTTGTGTTAGGATGACTTGTAGCTATTTTTGGCTGCATGTGGCCTGTTCACATTGAGTAAGAAATGCCTGCCTGTTATGAATAAAGCTGTTGTGACCATAGTCGTGAAAGTGTCCTTGTGATAGGATGGTCATCCTTTAGGTGTATTGCCAGATCTTACTTAGCTTTTATGCCATCATGTTTGGTTGATGTCCCTGGGAGGCCTGCTCTTTTCTGTGGGGTCGTGGAGGGGGCATGGATTTGTGGGAGAAAGGAGGTGGGGGGAAGTGGAGGAAGGGGAAACTATGGTCAGAATGTATTATATGAGAAAAGAATAAAAAGAAGAAAGGAAGGAAGGAAGAAAGAAAGAAAAAAATGCCTGGATGGAGACTCATTTGAATACTTTAATATTTTCACCTCATCGATTGTCAATGTGACTCACTGGCATTTCCTCCTTCCTGACTCCTGGATTTTAACTGGTCAAGGTGAATCCAATGTATCATTCCACTTCAGGCAATTCTGAGAGCATGTTCAGAAAGAATGAAAGAAGTAGATGAGAAAGTGAAAAGATTGTAAGTGATGAATACTCTTGAAACATTGGAAAAATGACAAATGCAAGGTAAGAGACAAGCTTCACTAGCATAGTCAGAGCATTAAAGAATCTTGTACCAATGGCATGGTTAGCAAATGATTAGAAACCAAAACAGTAAGAAATCATCTTTCAAGAAGAAGGCTTGAAGAGAGCATGTGTTTTGAGCCTCTGTCTTGCTTTGTAGCCCTTGCTCGCCTGAACTCACTGACTGTTGCAACCCTCTGCCTTCTGCCATCCAAGGGCTGAGTTTATATGCATGCATCATCATGCCTAGCATATCCTCCTATGCATTCTATTTCTCCACAGTCTCTTGAGTGTACTTCCCTTTCAGTAGCCACAGACCACCACATGTATGCCTTTCTGTGGACAGAAGTTTCCATCCTGCCCGGTGCCGTAGCCATTCAGTGCCAAATAAACACAGAGGCTTATATTAATTATAAACTGTTTGGCCAATGGCTTAGGTTTCTTATTGGCCAACTCTCTCTTAATTATTAACTCATTTCTAGTAATCTGGGAATCTCCATGTGGTCTTGGTTTACCAGTAATGCCATGGTCTTTTGCTTCTTGGCAGCTACATGGTGTCTCTCTCAAGATTTACTCACTGAGTTCCTTTAACCAGAATTCTCCTAATCTGGTAGCCTAGCCTATACTTCCTGTCTGGCTACATCCTGCCTGTTCATTGGCTGAAACAGCTCTATTTGACAACCAGTATGAGAAACAAATATTCACAGCATACAGAAGGACATCTCCCATTACCTTTACCCCATCATGTTTGGCTGTGGAAGCTATGTTGCTCTCCCTGTCAGCAAGACCTCACTTTCCCTTCCTGGGAAGATTAGCTTTTATGCACTTGAATGAGATGACCAGCCCTTGCTTCTGAATCCCTTCTGCTCTGTATACTATTAGTGGCACAGACAGGGGTCCTGCATTGGCCCAGCATTTTGTCCAAAGTTTCTAAAACACCTAATGCTGTATATTTAAGGAACTTTTGTCCTATTTTCAATTTATATCTTTGGCTTTTCCCAACACTGCCTCCTAGGCTTAGTTTATTGAACTTCAAACAATCATGATGAGGAAAAGCACATATATAATGTTCTGTGACTACTGAAAAGAAAGGGTAGTAGAGAGACTGTGGAAAAATATAGCTCATAAGAGGGCATGCTGGGCAAGATGGTACATGCCAATAATCTCAGCCCTTGTAAGATAGAGGTAGGAGGATTGCTATAATCAGTGAGTTCCAGGTAATCCAGGGTTACAAAGCAAGACCCAGGCTCAAGACACACTGAAAAAAAAGACAAAAAGGAAAAATAGCCCCTGAATGATTAATACTAAAAGCTAGATGGACATGAGCCAGAAATTTGGGCATCATGACACACCAATGAAAATACTTGCTTCTAAATTTTACCATCTAAAAGTTACCTCACTGGTCATAAACATGCACAAAAGACAGCATAGAGTGCATTAGAGAGCTTGGGAAAGTAAATGGGAAAAGCATGGCTTAGAGTAGTTGGCTTTGCTGCTGTTATAAAACAGAGCTAGAGAGCTAGGTTACTGTCACTTGGCCAGGACCTGGTTTATCTTGTTTGTATGAAGTAAAAGCTTACAATCTTAATGCTTTTAAATAGCCTTAAGCAAATCTCTGATTTTGAGAAACATGAGTGAGCTCATTTGCAGACAGGCACACTGGTGTCTTGAAGTAAATCACTATTCCTAGCCACAAATAAATCTGTACTCTCCACTCTCTCTTTTATGACTTCTAGCAATGTTACATATACTTCCCTACCTCTTACTGTTGGCCAGAAAGAGTCTAAAGTAAAGGCCTCATTACCACACGGGATTCTTTTCTATTTAGGTAGAAGCATGCATCATTACAGAAGACTACACAAAGAATAAACAGAAAGTACTCTAGTGGCTGGGAAGCCTTGAAGTCTGATTTCACTGCTAGCTTGAAGAAGCAGAAACAAACAACTGAAAAGCAAGTTTCTGAACAACGTAGAAATATTTAAAATGGCACGTAAAGTTTTATTATAGCTGTTATTAGCTGGAAACTGAGAGAGGGGAAAGATTAGAAGGGACAATAGGGACTTCCAAGAGGAAGACCCTATTAAAAATTACATGGGCAAAGAGTTTAGGGATTTTCAATTACCTGTAAGAAACAAACAAAAGAGTGAAGAAGTGGTTTTAAAAGTATTTAGAAAAAGATACCATGATTTGAAACGAGGCCACCTATGAAAGTGAGGAATATGAAGGGAAATTTTATCCCACTAACAATCAGGTAAGTGTAATAATGGGTAATTAGCCTTAGCGTCAGTATGAAAGGAGCAAATTTGGGCGAACAGGATAAGTTAGTCAGCTTCCTGTTACTACAACAAAATACCTGTTTCAATTAATTTACAAAGGGAAAGGTCTTATTCTGGAACACAATTAGAAGTTTCAGTTCACAACCCAGTCATCCCCATTGTTCTTTAGAGACAGCACATCATGGCAGGAACATGTACTGGAGTGAAACTGCTCACATCACACGCTCCAAGAGAAAAGCCAACAGAAAGAAAACAGGATCCACAGTTCCTTCGAAGGCATGTCTCCCATGGCCCTTGAACTTCCCAATAGGCTCCACCTTCTAAAGTTCTACCATCTGGGGACAAGCCTTTAACACATAGACCTTTGGGGACACTCAACAGCCAAGATTCAGCATGATACCACTGGGTTTTTATGAAAAGAAATCATTCTTAATCTCAAATTAATCTCAATTAGAGGACAGTCAAGAATGAGGAAAAACTACAAGAGAAACCAAAGGGATGGAGAAATTATAAGGAGGGATGTAGGAAGAAAACAAGAAATACAACTGGACCTCAATGAAGGATAAACTCAATTTCAAAAACCACAAGTAGAGGCCAGAAGACTCATGCTGGTTGAACCCTTTGCAATTTTAAAAGCTTCATGCATGCATATAATGAATCTTAGTCCTCAACACCTATCACCCTGTCTTTTCTCTCTTCCTCTCACTACCCCTCTTCTCAGCAGGATCCCTGTTTGTTTACATGTCTCATTTTTATCTGTGTGACTCCTTGAGTTTAAGTAGAATTTCAGGAAATGCTGTTTTCTGATGCATGGGAAACTTATCAATGGCTGCACCACTGAAGGGGAACCCCCTCCCCCAGTCACTCTTAACTATCAATAGTCTCTTAGGGAGGCCTGGATCCCCATGAACAGTTCTTCTTTCTGTGATTCAAGCAACCACAGCTGAAGTGAGCACCGGCTTACATCAGTCATGTCACGAAGAGATGACATCAGTTAGCAGCCCTCCTTTTCAAACTGATTATTATTATGATCCCC